GAATTCTTGAACTTTCAGTCCTTCTTTCAACTAAATCATGTTTCCTATTTGAGGTAATATGACTCAATCATAAAAGCCAAAAATATGTTTCATTTGAAACTTTAATTTATTTGGTGAAAGTTCTTGTTCATCATCCTTTCCATTCAACACAATAAATTTAGGGGTATAAGACAAAGGTAATAAAGACTATTTGAACAATGTACCAGAACAAACAAGACGAAGATGAACTCCGAAATGTAACTGAGGAATCAATTGCATTGTCAAACCATGTTTTAACCAAAACAACTAACAATAATTGAATTCCTCTTGAAATCTGGAACAAATAAACAGTCACTCAAAACCATAGTCTTATAAATAACTTGTCCTACTGCAAATGCAGACACAAGTTCCCATTTTCAAGCTTAAAATATCTATGTCCATTGCTGAGAGGTATGCCATGTTTGAACTACTGCAAAGAGTAACAAACATAATCAGTGATTCCTGAATCAATAATTCATTCACTGATCAGGCCTTGATATGCCCATGTCTAGTTCTTTTCATCACCTCTGGGCAATTTTTCTTTCAGTGTCACTTCAGTCTGCACCTGAAGAACTTGCCTTGCAGCTTCTGCATAGTAACTGGTTTGACAACTGATAACCAAGTTATTTTGTTCTTGTTACCACCCTTGGATTTTCCCTTGGATTTTTAACAAGACTTTTAGCAAAACCTGCGTTGACTGCATTCTGTCTAGCAGAATTTCTAGACACAGCAAACATGTCATTAAGAGTCCAAAGCATCTCTACTCCACTCTTAACCATGTACATTTTCTTATGCAAGTGTTTGGAAAGACCGACAAGAACATAATAGCGAACTACCATATTTGTCCTTTTCCAATCTGAGTATTGCGTCCTTAGACGCATCCTCTGCAGGTTGCTATGGCCCTTGTACTGTCAGGACAAATTTTATCTTTCATGTTTTTAGAACAATATAAAAATTTCTTTTCCATTTTTCATAGTTTGTACCATCTAGAGGCTTTTGACTCTAAATCATGGCTATAGGATTGAAAGAAGTCATTTTATGAAAAAACATATAAAGCACACAATTACAAACAAATAATGCAATAAACAAACAAAGTACAAGTAGATTCTCATAACTACTCTTGTTTATTGTTAACAATCCTTCAGTTTATCTTTACAACGCTTACGATGGGCAAGTCACTTGTAAAAACCAAAATTGTTATTTGGGCCTTTAGTGCCATTGCCAGAGCCTCGATGGGAGGGTTAACAATTTTACCAAAGTAGAATGTAATTAACCATTGTTTAATTTCAAAATTATCCTTAGTGTCTAAGAATTGCCGACAATGGGTCGTACAATACTTTACTAAAATTTTGAAATTATTAAGATTTAATCTAGTGAAATTTGATTATCCTTATCCGATGGGGCTTCAGCGATAACCATTTCACTAATAAACCCACAAATGGAGCCCATAGATTTTAAAATTACTTATTTAATTTAAAACCTTCTCCCATTCAACATTTTTATTTGAGAATTTTCATAAGCCCTGTCGAATTCATTGTTTAATTTTAAAAATATCTTTAATAACTTAGTATTATCGACGATGAGCCGTACAATACTTTATTAAAATTTTGAAATTATTAAGGCCCAATAAAATTCAATCATGCTTATCCGTTGGGGACCTCACATGATTATTTTATTGATAGGCTCAATGCGCCTGGAGGTTAAATTAATTTCTTAATTTAAATCTCATCCCATAATTATTTAGGTCCAATCTAATAAAATCCAATCATGCTTATTCGATGAGACTTCACATGATCATTTTATTAATGGTCCTATAATGCGCTTGAAGGTTAAATTAATTTCTTAATTTAAATCTCCTTTCATTCAACATAAGTAATATTTTCCAATTTCCAAGAATTATTTAATTGAGAGTATCCTTTGCTTGATTTCAAAACTATGTAAGCAAGAGCGCCGATGAACGTGCATCACTTAGCTTATCTGAATTTTGAAATCATTAAGGTCCTAAAATCCGGTCATGATAGGCAGCGTGTGTTTAACACATGACCATTTTAGTAGATCCACAAATTACACGCAAAATAAAAGAATTCTCTTAGAAAATTTTCTTACTAATTTTGGTTGATTTTAAAACTCCAAAAATAATCAATTTGATTATTTTAGCTTTTTACCAAAATCATAATAATTAATTAATTTTCAAAATTAATATAACCATTAATCTAGATTTTGTTTCTAAAATCATAATAACCATAATTTTATTTTACCGAAATATTTAAAATCAAAAACTACGCGCATAAACTATCATACTAGTCGATAATGACATAATAGTAAATATGCGCATATGACATGTGATCATGCAACAATATGGCACCTTCCTATCCGATATGACATGTTATCGCAAATATCATGTTAATCGCACATATAATTCATATCAATCAATAAAAACATTAAATAATAAATTCTAATTACTTTAATCCATGGCCTTCCTATTTTAAAGAAAATATAAAAAAAATAATAAAATATTACAACTTTGAAAATCGACTTTCGCCTAGCCCATAGTATCTGTCTCAAGTCCCTTTAGAGTTTTCATGGGCCCAAAGACCCAATCCTTTGGCGAGAAACCCTAGGACGCGAAAGAGGAACCCTAGCCGTCAGGTCTGCCACGCCGTCAACCGAAGTCAAGTCAGGCCGAAACTCCAGTGGAAGGACCGCCACATAGAGTGGCCGGACGCTCCCTCACTCTCTCATTCTTTCCCGGAGAGTGGCGGCCACTCTCAGAAGCTTGTGGAGGCGCGTGGAGGATCCGGTGGCGGCTATCCACCCACCGTTGCGTTCGTCTTTCCGTCCTCTTTCCAACCATATATGTATAGCCCCATTCTGAGATCAGTAAGTCCTCCAAAAGTCTCCGACAGTGCTAACTGCGCATCTTCCTCGCGGTTTCTCTATCTTGAACTTTTACAAAATATTGGAAAAGTACATAGAAATTCCGAAAAATAAATAAAAACAGCAAGGAGGAAACCTAATCATATGGGATTAGCCTCCTTGTTACAAATCGAGAAATATACGAGAGACCCTAACCATGGATTAAAGCATTTTTACCGATTAAAATTTAAACTTTTTATGAAAATGAACTATAAAGAATTAACATGAATATAAATAACAAATACAGAATAAAGGTGACATATTTTCAAAAATCACATAGGAAAAATAAATCAATCAAGGCTGATCTAAATCTTCATCACAATCCGGCTCTGATACCACATGAAGGTATATCATCAGAAACGCGGAAGCGCATCGTACCGATGCGATGAGGAATGAAGACACTGCTTTGATTACCTGGGGTGAAGAAGCGAGCGTGACGATTTCTCTCCTTCAGTTCTCCTTGTCAAGCTCACGATCTTGCAGCAACGCACCACGAAAGGTCGCAATTTTGCTCTACGGTTGATCTTCCAGGCTATGACTCAAGGGGATCAGGGGGTCGTGTGGGCAACCGTTCAGATGATGAACGTCTGCCTCTTTGGTGTATTTCTGATAACTGTAACCCTAGGAGGCACAAGGGAGAGATGAGTGTTTATATACCCTGCCCAATTCAAAACTAACCCTAAGCTTCATGGGTTAAAATTGAACTTTGAGCTCACTCTCACTAAAGCTATTGGGCTTAAGTGAAAAGAGAACCCAACATAAACTACTATAGAATCCATTCGCAGCATTTACATGTTCCAAAAACCAACTCACATCATCTCAAATCCGAACATTTGTAGTCATCACTCGGGGAGCATTCATAAGGAAAACTTCAGCATATGTTGAATATGAGACACGACACAAGATAATAATATGTTAATTTTAAAAAATATTAAATTTTACAAATATATTTTAATATTTTTAATATATATAATATGAAAATCAAAGTAGACTAGTTGCTGTGGAACTTTATTTTTCTTCAACCCTTACCATAAAAAACCGTACATCCGTTTTTCTTTCCTTTCTAATATTTCGGTGGGCTCCACCATTTTTTTCTTGAAGAAAAACGGTATCTTCCTCTCATAGGAAAGCCATCAATCTCATATAATATAGATTATATTTTAATATATATACCTTTTTTAAATCAAACAATTTTTACATTTTTTTTAAAAAGTTACCAATAAAAAATAAAATTTATTATTATTTATTTATACAAGGTATATTAAATTTGCTTTATATCCTTATCCCTATTTTATAAAAAAATAAAAGAAGGAATATGCTAATCCAAAAAATATCAGTGGCTACGAAAAGCAAAGAAAAGAGTAATAACTAATGTGTTAACTTTATTTGGGATCTTTGATTAGTTAACTTCACCAGTGAGTTAATCTTTTATTTTTTTAACCATAGTTAATGTTCTGAGTTAGCTAGGTTAGTAAAAGTTACTTTCCCTTTCCATGTATCGTGTTTTCTGCACTCTTTGTATCAGATTTCATGAAATGTAAGAATTCTTTTCTTCTCATTTTGTTCCGAGTAAGAAAGAGAAAGCAAACACACCATTTTCTGTCTGACTTCACTGCATATCCAAGCCATCTAAAATGGCGGAAGCTTTAGGAACAACAACGACGACGAAATACATTTCGGGAACACAACAAGCGAGGAGATATATGGATCTCCCTTCAAGACAAGATCTCCTTATTATTATTCCTCCATTGCTATCATTTTTTTAAAAAAAAAAAAAAAACTTCTATGTTTTATTTTAGAATCATTTTAATTTTACATTTTCGATCAAATTTGCATGTTGAGATAGTCAATATATCTCAAAACATCAAGAGCATGTTGTGGGCTTCTTGAACTTCAGCATATAAAAAGATGGGAAAACATTTTCTCATGTAATAGGAGAATTGTTTTCTCCTACTAGTGACCCTTCGATTTTCGTGCAATATTTTCTTTTGCTTTTTTATTTTTTTAATAGATGTGGACCCCACACAAGATGTGTCTACAACATGAGAACATTTTCTCCTACCGCATGAGAAAATCGAAACCCTAAAAAGATAGCCCTAGTTAACAGACAAGATAAGAACACAGCAACGCCTCGAATTAACCTTTCTTTTTTCTTCCTAACTTTCATTTCATATTACATGAGAGTAAAACAATGCCCTACAATCAAATGAATTACAAATCAATGGTCAAGAAAACTGTACACAAGAATGACTGAACAGCGGTACAAGGAATGACGCTTTGGATTAATAATTGCAGACCCCCCACGCTAAAAGAGGCAGGCAGCTCTGAATGATGAACCATTCCGTATCTATTAATAGGTGTTACGCTCTGACCACTTCCCCTAACCATGCAAAATGTTAACGATCCCACATGGCCTGGAATATGGCAGGTCTGTGCTTCAACCAATGAACCATCTCCCTGTCCAGTGTAGAGTTATTTATTACAGCATCTAACATTGGGCTACCAAAGAATTTCGGAGAACTTTTGAATGACCATATCCGGTCTTTAGGCCAAGATCTCTGGGACTGCTTCTCCTGGATAAATAAAGCAGATGATTAATCACCAACAGCACAGACAAGAAATCACAAAGAACATATCTAGGCTAGCCTTCAAGCACGAAAACAGTCTGATCAAACAGCTATTCAAATAAAGGATCTTGATCTAAATTGAGGCTTGTAGAGGCACATCAGATCTATGGGAAACAGGAAGTGTGTTAATAGATATCAAGGTAGTATCAAGACAGCTGAAAAGGTGTGGTTTCCTAAGGACAAAAAGAGAAGGTAACGAGGCTGCACATGAGGTTGCTTATCTCGCATCTAAGAAATCCATTCATCTCAGTTGGGTTTTTCAGTCCCCTGGTAAGCTCTCTCACATAATTTGAAAGGAAGTTGCTTGGTGCAAAGGAGATATCTAGTGATAGGTGGATGTGACTGTTCATTTTTAAGTTTGCATGCATGTATGTATTTACAGTCGTACTTTTTAGCATAGCATAGTTGCTTGTTTTAGGGTGAAATTTTTCTTGCTTTGGGCCTTCTAAGCTCTTAATGTTGACCAAAAATAATAATAATAATATAGGATCTTGATACATGCGTATCACTTAACATCATTTCACCAACTGGGATAAGTCCTGGTTGTTATCGTTGATGGAACCATATCATTTTCTGGCAAACTTTATCCTACGAGGACAAACATTTCCTATTTGTTATTTTCCGAAAACAAAGTCTACCTAGGATGAAAATATAACAACTTAAAAAACTAGATATAAGAAACTAACCATTCTTGCCAGCATAGATCTGACAGTCCTTGGACCATAAACACGATGTCGAGATGGCTTCTGAGCCTTGGCATAAAAGGAACTAATGTCAGGTAAATACAAGCAACCCCTGCCAGCCCTAGCCAGGCTACGTTCTGGATCTGCATTACTCTGATTGTGCCAAAAAATCAGCTGCCCTAAACAATAATTTTCACTATATATCTTTTGATACTCTTGAAATTCTTCTCCCAACTTGTTAATGTACTTTGGACCTAAGTCAAGTGGACTAATATAGACAGGTGGTGAAGTAATGGTTTGATAATCCTGCAAGAAGAAGGAAGGGGGGAGTAGGGTGAACCCTGATTTAGATTGACAGAAATAAATTTTAAAATTACAGAAGAAAAATTTAACTGCATATTCACCCCTACCCTATCATTGTCAGACTTTACTGGAAGTGGTTTATGAAGCTTGGTATTCACAGTGGAAAAACATACCCGTATTCTATAGAAGTACTTGGTGTAAGCATAAATATGGATTAAGTCAGCAGCAGCATCATGCCGACATTTATATGTACAAGAAAGATTCCGGACCTCGTCCCTCAACCTTTAGAAAAGAGGAGAAAAACATAATGTAAAGACTGCAAGTTCCACCCGGTTAAAATACAAACAGACCAATTAGAAGTGCAAACGACTTACCATAATAGAGATTTCCGAACCTCTTTTTGAATATCACCAGAACTTGAAGGATCATGAGCGTGAATTTTGGACTTGAGATCATTCAAGATGTCTTCTTCCACATAAGGACCTATGCACTGAAGAAGCTCCTCAACAAATGAACCCTCTCCTTTCCAGAGGAAGGAAACAGCTGCTTCAGGACTGAGCTTCTCAAGAGGAGGTGGTGCTTTCCGTGGATCACCAAAAATACATCTCATAACATATCTTACCTGTAATACCCCATCAAAGATTAACATCATCTCCAAACTACAAGAAGCAAAATTAACTGAAAACTACTTATTTACAATAAGATAACAATCTATAAAAAGAGTTAAAATTGTACAATTCAAGATACCCCACAAGTGTGCATTAGTGAAGTTCTTGACATACAACATGAGATCTAAAATTCTTGACCATTTAGAAATTGCTATACCATGCAGCTTCCTATCTTAAACAGTATCAGCCTGGTGGTTCTTGTTAACAAGTAGCCCATACCAAAAAATTTAGTCTTTACCATTCCTCCTATGTGATCCTGTTTTAAATGCAAAGTATTTCTTCCTATCTAAAATTAAATGCTAGAATAGTGAAGCAAAAACAGACAGCAGAGAGGCACAATCACCTTATCAAGTGTGACAGCAAGATTCTGAAGCCTTTGGTTGTACACACCCTCAGCCTGATTCATATAAAAGATAGGATAAAGGAAATAAACATTTGAATGAAAAATGAGAATAAAAAAATTAGAAATGTCATCTAATGATAATAAACAACATGAAGAGAAAATAGACCAACAGGCAGAGAGCACACCTGAACCTCAGCATCACTCCTTTCAACTTCAAGACATATATCTGAAAAATATTTTCTTTTTTCTTCCAGATTATGCTTTAGAATTTCCTCAGGAAGTTTAGTTCTTTCAAAATTGATGAATCTCACCTTCATCACAGCACAAGTGTCAAGGAAAATTAATACACAAAAAAAACTGAAAAATATTGGTAACAACACAGAAGTCAGGCACATACAAGGCGAGCCGCATAAGCAACAAGCCAATCTGGCAGGCCTCCAAGCAAACAACTGCCTAAACCAGCTCTTCCTAGGTCATTATAATCCTCTTCAGAAACAAAGTTTAATTCACAAGCTTCTAGCATCAAATAATGACGATCAAGAATTCCATGTGAGTCCTTCAGAACCTGCAAGGGACAAAATATTCTGGTTAACAGATAAAATAACAAAATGATTAAATGACAATAGAACTATATTATTTCACTTTTTACACAAACTCCAGCGAAGGTTTCATGTGAAGAAAACTACCAACAAGGAAAGCAAGTCTAGGAATTCCATTGTAGACCCAGTAATAGTCATATTTTCTCCATTAATATTTTCTTAGAACCTAAAAGTTGAAAATTTCCTGTAAGTCCAAACCTTTTGGAAAGCCCCTTCACCAGTCAGATTCAGATAGCTCCCCCGGCATACTTGGCTTCCACACAAACAAACCGATGCTTCATACTCCTCCTTGCTCTACATTGAGATGAACAGGTACTCATCATACAAAGATATACAGCACATTCATTTATCTCTTGAATAGATAAATTCAGCAGGGAACAGGACAAACCTCTGTTACAGAATTGTAATCAAAAGTGATCTCCTCACCATGTTGAATTTTACGAACGCTATAAATACCAATTTGATATTTACCATCAACAGCAGTAACTCTGAAAAAATAGGAAAACAAAGGCAATAGATAATTAGCAGAGACGATAACGCAATTAAAAAATGAAACAAAAGGATTGTACTCCAGTATTATAGTCCTCAGCTAACCAATAAATAACCCAGAGGCATTACTAGGGACAGAACTAAGATAAATTATAAAAATCTGTTATTTGATTAAGTCTCAGACTCATGTCTTAAATCTTGAAAGATTTAAATACACTATTTGTATAACGTAGGTTTTGTTCCTCGGTAACTTTGCTGCCACAGCCAAGGCAAGGAACAAAAAAAACGGAAGTTCTGTCAACCAACTAGTTAAATTTCTTCCGAAGAAACTAAATAAGTCATTTAGACTTAAGGACATTAATGATATAATTTACAACTGAATATCCATTAGAACCATTGCCTTAAATGAACCAACACAATTACTTCTTTATTCCTTTCATAAGATCTTTTATGTCATCTGTTTAAATGTAAAACCATTAAAGTCATTTTTCTTGTTGCTATTCTACCAAAGAATTTTCTTGTTACATCAAAAGAGATCGATTTATCTCAACTAGTTTATCTCAATCAATTAGTTATATTACAAATAAGAGATAGTCAATTATATAACTAATTGACAATCTATTCTCTGAAATATAACTATTTGATTGAGATAAGCTGATAGAGATTTAAATCAATCTATTATCACGTAACATCTCCACAACAATAGACAAACAAGAAATCAAGAAGCCTAAGCAAGCAAAAAGAAAGGCATTTAAATGCATCAAAACAAACACATTATAGAACAAAACAGAAGGACAGAAGGGGAATAAAAGACAACATAATATGAAGAAACAACTTTGCATTTGACTTTTAAATCTGAATCCAGTAGTAATGCTCGTCTATCAAAAACCAGGCATTTTAAGTTCTTAATAGCAAATAATATAGACCTAACCCATTATAAATTTAGAAACGAATTATCACAAAACCAATCTCCATTAAATCCAGACTGGCGAGAGTAGAGATGAGGGCAATCTTTCTACGAAGCCCTACGATTTTCTTATAAAGCTTTTTTCCGAATTCGAAGCCATGACTTCAGTCACAAAGAAGCATTTATATCACTACTACAAGCTCGCCCTCTAGAAAGGAATTATCACAATGACACAAAAAAATTCTAATTGAATTTAACATGCAAAAAAAAAATTATGTGACCATCCGAAACCACCACAATGTTTAACAGCTTTCTTATGCCAAATGCAGATCATGATGGGCCACAAGCAGTTACTACAGTTTTCAAAAGAAAGCTAGGACTCGTGCAGATTAAGGTTAAATCAAAGGATATAATGATATAATCTGTACAACAAAAGCAATCATGATTGTAACCCCAGAAAAAGAAAATATATATATATATATATATATATATATATATATATATATATATATATGACTGTAGCTGGTAAATGGATGCACATAATATTTCATGCATATGTGACTCCCCCAAAATGCAGGCAATGCACTAAAATAGCAAACAAATTGTTTTACAAGAGAACTAGTATCAGAAGCTGAAAAAGTCAGCAAACATATTAGCAATAATCAAATAACATGAAAGTCAAAACAACTCACTTGGCTTCACAATTAGGTCGGCAAGAATGACATATTCGACTGGCATAATTAGCCTTGTGCATAGCATCAACAACAACTAAGTCATACCCATCTGCATCACCCTGTCATAAAATTGCAAGATTAGATAAAGACAGAATGAAAGATGGGTGGACCGTACAAGTTGAACATCATAAACTTTTTTTTTTTAAGTGACGGGCACCTTTGGCCTCTCAAGGTAGATGTTATAGAATTCTGGTGCCGGATCTTTACTATCTTTCTGCAGAGATCGAATCCCATCTTGTTTTTCGAACCACTTCCACACAGGATAAACCTATGAAAAAAAAATTCAGTATAACAGAAATCACAATGCCTAGCCATCACAACATCATATAGGCATAAGACACTTCGGACCAAATTTCTAAATGGGATAGTGATAAGCCCCCATCCAAACCCAATAGGGTGTACAAGAGAGACAAAAATAGAAGAGTTTGGGCTTCAACTTATGGTGATTCGAGCCCAATTCATGCTGCTTATGCTGGTCCAAACCCAACCTACACTACCCATGCTGCCCCAAGTTCAACACATGATGACTCAGCAAGGTTGTTACAACTGAATGGGGGAGCACAGCACAATGGGAATGGAGAGAGGTTAAGTAGTGGGAGTGGGATCGTGCAAGGGTATCGGAAATCTGAAGAATAGAGAACGGTTCTTGGGAGAGCTTCAGCACCTCTCGAATGTGCTGGGATTTATTGTTACTGAATTAAGTCTTAGTTAATTTCTGTAATTGCTTTAATTTTCTGCCCTTAAACATTGTAGTTCATTTGCTGCTTGTAATACTGTTTTTCATTCAATATATAAGAAAATCCAGATCCTTCTGGGCCCAAATAGCTGTGTTTCTGTTTACTATTTCCATTATCTTGGTGGTCTGTATCAGATAGCCTCGTGTATAGAAAATGAAATGAACCATTATAGTTCATCAATTCAAAAGCGCAAATATCTATATGAACATTAATCTCCATGTAACATTCTATACAAAACCTTAGCAGGAAAAGACAGAAAAAGTCCAAACCCCTGAGGAAAACTAGAAAAACCAACGATCTGAATAGACCACAGTTGTTATAGGCACACACCACAGAATTAATCACTGCCTAGTTAATATGTTGCATATGTAAAACACATAAATGTCTACATTTGTAGAGAATAGATCATAACTAGTTTAATAATGTTAAAGAATACAGAACACTTCGTAAGAGTGCACGGTTTTATATTCTCTATAGTTGATGGATTATTCCTTAGCTTAGATATTTGACATTCTCGCAGAAACCTATGATTAATCCAAAGTAGGAGCAAGCACAAAGCATGTATAGTTTGCACATTAAATAAACAAGAAAGTGTTGAGATATTCAAGTGTGATGAAGCCATACCTCTCCCAGAAACTCCACGACAAAATCATCTTGGGCAAAGCCTTCTTCCTTGTCGCAAACAACACCAAGCCCCTGCATGATCCAGCAAATCAAATGCCAGAAAATTAGTGGAAGATAACTATTAAATTTTAGTTCAAGTAAACAACAAAAAGAACATTTACCTTTCTATAAGCTACGTATTTATCATCGGGACGACTTTCTATGGCCTTTAGGATACCTTGACACATTCTAACCGTTCTTGCATCATAGTCCTCCTCCGCGCACCTTTTAATATCTTCAATAACAGGCTGCAAAGCATAGCTCATTGGAGTGCTTCCAGTTCCAGTAAAATTCCTAACTTGCGTATTCAATGTTCGAAGGATCATGTCTTCTATAAACAAATGCTTCTCCTGAAGAGACCAATCTAACTCCTCTGGCATAGAATCAAGCAAAAGATTATGTGTATAAGGATCGATTCCATAAACTTCTTGCTCAATAACCTCATTTCCAAGCTGCTTTCTTGGTTTGTAATTTTTGACTTCTGGAAGTTCCATATCTGACTCCTCGGTTCCATTCTTTTGCACACTCAGCTTCTCAGCATAGTCATCCGGTAAAGAAACCCTCATCTTCCTTTGCACATTCTCCTCATCAGCTACAATGACATATTGATCAATGACTTCATATTTCCGGGTAACTGGAGGTACCAGGCTTGCTTTCGTCATGCGAGCACCCCACTCGCGATCATCAGTTATAAAATCCAACTCTTCCCCAGGTGTGAAGCATCCATCCCCTCTTGACTCCCTAACTATACTTTCTGAATGTACTTCTTGGTCACTTTCAGTGTCCGAGGTTGAAGTACCACTGTCGCTCCTACCATCTTCATAAGACCTATCAAGGTCATCAGATGTTTCACTTTCTGAGTCCATAGATTTCTTATTCAACTTTGACAAGCGCCTCCTAATTTCTCGATCAGAGGTATAATCTACATTATCCAAACCACCATGTATTCCATTATTCCTATACTTCCTTTCATTCACCAATCTATTCTTCTTATACTTTGAATTGTCCCATGACTTCAGTAGTGCATCTCTGTCATGCACAGATTTAGAACTCTCTTCCAATCGTGTTGCAAGCTGAATAAATAACGTGATAATATGGTTCATGTCACTAACATCACCTCGATTCTTTGCTCTGTAATCAATAAGAATATGAATACAATAAAAAAAATTAAACATTGGGGATAAAAAAAAAAAGAATGTGAAGTCAGATGAAACACATTCTAGATGACTCAAGAAACACAAACTAAATTAACAAATCCATAACAAGAGGCAACTGGAACATATAATATATAAATTTTGAAGATAATATCAGGATGCAAAACAACTAAGATGTATAAAAACCCACCAATCTTAGCACAGATGAAAGACAACTATAATTGCAAAACAGTAGAGCTTATGCATACAGCTGAGAATCAAACAGAAGAACCTCCATGGCAAGAAGATACAGCACTCAATCAGGATTCTTGTCACAATAAATAATAAACCCCATCTTTGTACCAACAAAAAAAATAATAATAAACCCCATCTTCAATTCAATGTCTCCAACAACAGCAACAATAATATATAACCATGGCATCAGAAAAAAAAAGAGAATAACACCTCCCAAAGAATAAGGCAAAATAGGAAAAAATAACATACTTTATTGCATCGCGGCACATTCTACTTATGTCCTCCTTGACAGAGCTCAACCCACGGCCACTGTAATAACCAGTTTTTATTTTAGCCTCAATTTCTGCAACCTATTCATAAAGAAAGAATGAGACAAGAAATCATGAGTAATAAAGGGCATCTCCATGATAGCAACTTTAAAAGAATTTATCACAGTACCTTGGGCACAAAAAAGTCACAGGAGTTTGTCTTCATAATTTCCCTCAGTCTTGAAGCAAGGAATTCCTCCATCCTCTTATAACCACTTTCAGATTTCTTGATTGCCCATCTTCTTGTACGAGCATCCCTAGATAGAATGGAAGAGGACCTTCTCGCATCATATAGTTTTGAACGCTTGTATAAGTTTTGACGGAATAATTGCTTCGCCGTGTCTCTCTTATCCACACTGTCAAAATAATCCTTCAATTGACCAAAATCATCAATACCTAAACTGCTGGATTTGAAAACAGATGTAGTTTGCTCTGTAATGTGTTTAAGGCTTCTGATTTTATGAGGCTCCTCTGCAATTCTAGTCATGTGTGAACTTCGGCTCTTGATCCATTTCACATTGGCAAATTTAGGAGTCAGCTCTCCAAACTGGTTGCACCCTCTAATGTCTACGGTACATAAACCAGGAAATGAAAGAAGAATTTTCTCAAGCATGTCAGCCGTAATATTGGTACAACCCATTAGAATCATGGAACTGATCTTGTCTTTCTCATAAGCATTCTGCAAACAAATAACCAGATTAGATTAGAATGAAGAATGAGAAACATTCCTTAAAATGTGAATTGTAAAATATATATCAAACCTACCATAATGTTCCATAACATGGAATCAGTGCAGGAATGACCTAAGGATGTCAAGTTGACCTGTCTTGAAACTTCCCTGTAAAACCTTACAGCAGTTCTCCAATGCTTGCAAGTCATTGATGCAAAGACAAGAGACTTCAAATCAGATCTCAAAAAATGGAAGATTTGTGCCATTACACGACCGTCCAATAAGCCCCGGCTTCCTACATCAGAATCAGTAATACCAAATTCTTCAGGGAAAGAAGCATCACGACATAGATCCTCAAAAGTTGATCCATCCTTCTCAATAGTAAGATCAACATCTTCCAAATCACTGTCTTCTTCACTGCCATCAACCATCATTCGGGCTCTTTTGGCAGCATGTGCATCACCTTCTGAAATTTACATGCCCCAACACAAGCACACACAAAACAAGAAAACATCAATAAAATTAATCAGGAGACCACTTGAATCAAATCTTCTGGGATAGTCCAATCTAATGTACACTACCCCACATGAGCTCATGACAAGGCCGCAAACAATGATCAAAAGGGTGAAGTTGGTAGCAAATGAGTTCAACTGATACAGGTCAAGCCAATACATTAGGGCAATAGGCTAAAGAGAAATGAATCAGTTCACCAATCACTAATAAAAAAAAATAAAATAAAAAACTGGAAGTTTGGGCCAATAAAACAAAAGGCAAAAAACAAGATAAAAATTTATAGAGGCAGGGAACGGGGATGACAAAGCAAAAAATGTACCTTAAAAGGACTAATCATTACCTGATTTCAAATATATTGGTTTCTCAATTTCTCTCTTTGGTTGTCTTGCATTGATCCAGGGATCTAACACCTCATTTATAGCCGCAGCGAACTCCCGGCTCTTATATGATTTCATTACCAGTTCATGTAGCTTCCCGCGAGTATAACCAACAAATTGAGGGTGTATGCAGTTAAACAAACTTGAAATTGTGTGAGGTTCACTGCATGAAACACCTTGAGTTTGCTTTGACGGAAGTCCAGAGCATGCACCAGACGCTGAACTGCTTTCTTGGTGGCTCGCGAGACTAACATCAGAAATTTCTGCAGCAGAGGTAACAGGAACCCAGAGTTTATCACTTTTCCTAAACACACTGCTATGCTTTTTTATAATTCCTTGATCTACAAAATACTGTAGCTCCAAAAATGACGAAGGGCCTCTTTCACGCCCAGAACCATCAAGATAATACCAGTCACCCAAATGTAACTGCAGCTCATGAACAGTACAGAGATGGTCTTTAGGGATGTTAATGAATTCCATGCTCCGGCAAGAACCTTGATCACTATCAGCTTTTGACTGAGAATCTTTTTCAGTTGATGATCTCCTGCTATCACTGGTAGAAGAGAAAGGCCGAGTTGACCTTGAATGATGTCTATCCTTGCCTCGGGTCTTCTGGCGTGACTCAGAGACCAATGATCCCTGGTCTAATGATCCCTGGTCTTTGACCACACATGCATTTATCCTGACCACCGAAAGAACATTTCCTTTCACTCCTCTCACAGAAGCAGGCTTACTTTGAATTGATCTGCTCGCAGCACTGCAATCAACCCATTCATCAGCACCAAAAGCCCATGGAGGGAGATCAAGCCTCCTGCTTTGAGAAGGAAAATACAAGTCATCTTTTTGAGGCCAGCGAGGATCTTCACAGCCAGACTTTGGCATTTGACATAATGGAAAACCATTATTTAGTACAAGTTTCTTCCGAGAATATCTATCCTGGGCATCATCATTCCTCTTCCAGTCGCCACCTTTGCATGACCAACAGGTGGAAAACCAATCACTAGGAACACCAAAGGAATATCCATTATCCTTGTCACCGGTACTTAACTGAGACTCTGAATGTCTAGATGTTAAATCAGTACTTGAATCACAATCTTCCCTAAAGCAGAAAATATGCCAAGGAAAACCTGAACAAAGACAAAAATACTTTTTCATGGAGCGTATAACTCTAAGCGCATTTCCATTGAACTTCTCCAGATGAGGAGTAAACATAATGTACAAACAGTGCACACGCATAACATGATGAAGAAAATCACAATTTTAAGTTCCAGATATCATGTTTTGCATTTTTTGTTTTTAACAAAAATCAGAAACTGTGATTTTATTCACTTAATCTGCTTCCAATGTATAAATGAATTCAAAATTTTATATTATCACCAACACACCATATCAATTGCAAAGATATAATGAAATACTAAACCACCAAACACGACTGAATGGGATGAATGCCAGCTTTTTGATCAACTGAGAGAAGTAGAGAATCCAGGCAAGCATACCAAAAGGGTAATGAAGCCAAGCCTAAAATGATATGCAAATTACCTTGCGAAAGTGATAAGTAGACCATTAAAAAACTAATTAGATTTCAAACATCAACTCCAAATGCATTAGCTTAAATCAATAATACTTACAAATTTTAATGAACACCTATTTAATGTATATATACAAATTTTAATGAACACCTATTTAATGTATATATACAAGGTTCAAACATTTGAAAGCTCCCATCCATGTATTAACAACAATAGTCCTCTTGTCAAAGTGCAAGCAGAAAAATATCAGAAAGTACAACAGGAAGCTGCTTTCCATAAACCAAGCCAAAACACTAGTAACGGATAACTCCAATAAGAAAACAACCTCAACATTGCCAGGTACCAGAAAATCAAAACAAATTGAAATTCCCTAAAAAGACAAACAATATGAATATTGGACAATATAAAATGCTTCAAATCAACGATAAAGTCAAACTTGTCAGAATACCAAAAATAAAACAAACTATGAATTATTAGAATTGATCGAGTAAAGAAAAACCGAAAAGAACCATCAGCCAATTACGTACCTTCATAGTCTCCCAAGCCCTCCCCTTTTGCATATTCAAAATTCATTTGCAAAGCTTCTGCAAGAGAAAATAACGATAACCAAGTTGAGAAAGATAAGATATTTCAGCAAATAGGGAGAAATTAAGATTGATAACAAATTCTGAGAATTTTTCTTACTTTTTAAAGAAATTCACAAGAATACATGGACCCAAAAAAATACCTTTTATTGCCTCAAGTTCCATCCCAGGAATGACATCATAACCCTCTAACAGATTTCTGACCCTTTCATCAATGTGGAAGTCCTCGAAAAATTCAGATGTAAGCAAACTGTCGTTCGGGCATACCAGTGGCTGCTGCGGGGCTGGCATTTCCTGATAATTCTCAGGACCAGATTGAAGAATATCTGCAGTATCTGCCAAAAGATTACCAGGAGCTTCTGGAGGATTTACCAGTTGAGTTATGGTATCCGACATAACAGACTGAAAACTCTGAGCTGCCGTTGGTGATGCTGCATTTTCAACTGTTAACCACCTGTCACTATCTAAATGCTTGATAAAGTGATCTGACATCAGTACCCCTTTATCAACAAGGACCTTGATGTCACACAGTTTAGCAGGCCCATTTTCTACACCACCATAATCGAGGTAAAACCATTTCCCTGATGACAAATCTGTCACCACAGGGACATGTGGAGGGGTATCACAAATGTCCATATCTTCTTCCATCGAAGGCAGCTCCTCAGGAGGTGGCTCAAAGCAAGGAGATTCTTTATTAATTAAAGTTGGGCTGCAGAACTGCTGTTCCTTTACAGGTTGACAGCAGGTGTCATTCTCTATAGACTCATTCGTAACTTGCAAACTTTTTTCACCTTGAGATTCTGTAACTGAACCATTTGACTCCCTTTGAATGTTCTTATCTTCATGATCCTTACAACTATACTCGGAGTTGTGCTTTTCACTTGATAAGGTTTTACAACTTGTTTCCTGATGACCATCTTTCTTAGCTCGATCAAGGGGGGATCCTTCTACTAAATTTGGAGTATGGTCCCTCCGATCATGATGCCGAACTCGATCTTGTGGCGACTGCTCGGCGCATGTAGGACTTCTCAATTTATGATCATGCTGACGACCTCTATCCCTGTTCCTTGTATATGGGGACCTCTCCCGACCATGGGGGGATTTCTCCCTGTAATATGGAGACCTGTCACGACCACAGGGGGATCGATGCAGTGGAGTGCGATCTCTATGATCATAATATCTGCCTCGATCTCTAGGCGACCGCTCAGAATGACCAGGGCTACGTCCATGCCTGTCATAAGCTGGTCTGGTAGAGAAAGAAGATTCATGATTCCTAGAAGAATACTTGTCTGCTGATAATTTTGCAGAATTATTATTTCGGTAAGACTGCTCCCCAGAGCGACGAGAATAGTTCTCTGAACAAACATGGCGATAGCTATCATCAGAAACCCTTCGGCTTTTTAAACCGGCATAATCTGCTGCCCGCTTCCACTCACAGCCGTCAGAATCATTACCGAACCTCTTCAAGCGACTTCCAGAAGTATAATCTCGTGTAGGGTCCTTACCGTTGTTGTGTATGTTTTTCTCGTCATCCACAACCTTTGAACTGATCCTTATATTCCTCTGTTGTCCACTATCCCACCTGGGAGAACTTTTAGCATGCTGACTCCCAGTTTTATTCAATTCTTTCTTTCTAAATCCTTCATCAACTGTATATCTCCCAGAAGTGGGGGTACGTTCACGTTCACTTTTCCACCCTTTGTCCCTATCTGAATGGAACCTGTGGGTTCTACTGTTACCATAATTGTCCTTACCCATTTCTCCCTTATACCATCTATCTGGAATGAATTCTCCCTTCTCGATGTCATCCTTTGTACCTCTCCACGACCCATATTCACCTTTCTCAGCTTCTCCTTTCCTACCCTTCTCAGGAAAAACCTCCCCTTTATCCACATCATCTTTTCTCCATTTGCCAGAATGAATCTCTCCCTTCTCCAGCTCCCTTGTTTTCCATTTCTCACTCACAATCTCTCCGTTCTCAATCTCGCTTCTCCTTGGCAGCAGCTCAGGCACGAACTCTCCATTTTCCAGGTCACTTTTAGGCCACTTCAAAGTGCCCAATTCACCCTCTTCCACTTCTTCCTTCTGCACCATCTCCCCGCATATTTCACCATTCTCAACATCGTTGCTTCTCTTGCTCACTCTGTCCAACCCTAATTCACTCTTCCTCGCAGGCTCCTCTTTTCTCGCCTTCATCTTCTTCCTCTCGCTGTCAGCAAACTTGAGCAACTTGGAATTGAAGCCATTCCCACTCTTGCCTCCGCAAAGCGTCTTCTCGGCATTCGGTAACCTCTCCATAATATACTGCAAAGGCATGCACACGACACCTCCATCGCCCATGGAAATCTCACCGTCGAGGTCAGAAGCTCGAAACCCTAGCTGTCCCCTTTCCCGGGGCTATCGATGCTCATGCTGCAGATGCTTCAGCTCTCCTCAATCCTCGATCCAATTGAAAACCCTAAATTCCACAAAAAAACGAACACGGAGATTAAAACCGAAGCAAATTTATATAATTCACACCGGCATATGCGAACGAACGAGAAACATTACGTAGAAAGAATATAATTCCTGATTTAAACCCTACGAAGCCACTCCGTTAACATCGAGAAGGACAAATTAAAAACAAGAACGAAGAAGAAGAAGAAGAAAATTACCGAGAAAAGATTATAGATCGGGAAGAAAATCGAAGCTAGAGCGTGAGAAGAAGAAGGATCGAGAACTACGATTTGTTATTAAGAGGTATTGTGTGTTGAATAGGGTAATTAGTAATAGTGTGTTCCTCCTTAGTGTCTCTCTCTCTCTCTCTCTCTCTCTCTCTCTGCTATTATATGTCGTTCTCTTCCTTGCGTTGTGTGTTCTTGTTGGTCTGGATGAAAAACGAAAACTTCCTATTATTTTCTTTTCTTTTCTTTTTTACCCATTTTGTGTATATTTATTGGTGGAATTGAAGTACGAAAATACCCCTTTAGCGTGAAAACGGCTTGAGATTTGGTTGGGAACTTAACTGAGAGAAGAAAAAAACCAAGCCGAGTGAGGGTTTTGAGTCTTCGAAATCTCAGTCTTATATGAATGGAAAACTTGTGTTGACTCTGAAGGAAGGACCACTGGTATCCAATTGGGCTGCCCTATTGGCCCATTCCATGATTAACAATTAATGTTGAAGGCGTGTTTATGATGATGGCTCAAAATGACGTTACAAATGTTTTTGGGATTAAAATACAAAGTTGGATATTCTTATTACCAAATATTTTTATTATTAATCTATTATTAATTATGTATTATAGATAGTATATCAAAAGCTTTTTTTTTTATTTCTTTTCAGAAATTTTTCAAAAATTATTTGCTGAAAAGTTGGATTCAATGACTAAAAAGTGGTAATAAATTGGTATTAAGAATATTTTGTAGTAAGAATATCTTACCTCTTAAAATATTAAGACTTGGTTTTAAAAAAAATTATTAAGACTTTTGGGTCATGATTTTGACTGTTAAATTGAATCAATTAAAATTTAGTTTAATCATGATCAACAAGGAAATTGGAGACATATAGTTCCCCTTGATCAGTTAAAATTTTAATCAATTAAAATTTTGAGATCACATAATTGATGCGTATGGATTTTTTATGATTTTGTGATGGAAATAAGTTGTTGATTTGATTGGCTTGCTAGCTATGCCCACAATTTGTCCCTTACATGCCTCCTCATGGTTGTGGCTAGGTTAGGCTAGATTTGAAATTAAATAGGTTAGACTTGTGTAAAAAATATGAGGTGACTGTTAGTCTGTATAGGCTCCAAATTACAAGTCTGGTCTGACTTATATTTAAAAAATAAAAATTTTGACCTAGGCTGCCTGTTAGCCTGTTTAAGCCTATTAAACATTCAACAATTAAAAGAATAACTAAAATAATATTATTTTATTATTCAAAATTATTAAAATAATAATTTTTTTTATTATTTTAAATCAATAATATGATATAGGCCGGCCTGTTGGCTTATAGGCCCGACATGTACAAAAAAGTATATGGTCTATTTTCTAAATAGATTTTTTTAAAAGTCTAGACCTGTTCTATTTTACTATTTGTAATAGGTCAAATTTGGTCTAATATATGCTAAGCCGTAGGCCATGTAAGCCGACCTAGCCCATTTACCTCCCTAGTTGTGGCCAACTTTTTCTCTCAAGATTTTGCTGGTGTTTCTACCCTCGTAGGATTCTAGATTAGCATATTAAAAAAAAAAAAAATGAGACACTGTTGATTTGTGGTCTAATTAGTTCACCTGGCTAAATTTTAAGACATTGGATTCAAAAACTTTAAAATAACACAAAAGCATTATTTATCAACTTTTTTTTGTTGATAAACTATTTATCACTTTTTTATATCCTTGAAGATGATATCCTAACTATCAATGTTGCAAAATTAACTTCGATTTCTTCGTGATTAGGAAGTCTTTCTAACAGTTCTCTTCTTGTGAGTTTGGATTTTGGCCATCTCCCTAAATAAATTTTACTTACTTACTGGCAAAACATATTTGTCATTAACTACGATTAAAATTTGATAAATTATTTTTATTAATATTGCCTATTAACATTATAATTTTATCTCAAATATTATTAATAAGTATCTCAAATATCCATATATTTAAAATCTAACGTGACAAGTTTTAATACTAAAATGATTTTTTTTTTTTTTTTGGAAATATACTAACATGATTTTAGATGCTACTTGTTTGTGATATTTGTCAACACCCTCCATTGAAAACAAATATATTACATAATAACATATTTATTCTAATTCTGTCATTATGCATTTTTTTAATGTTAAAGATGTAGACTAACATATAGAAATTTTTAATATTTTTTATGTAAGGAGAAGTTATCGCATTAATAGAAGTTTGACAACACTTGCAAATTAAATAAGAAACATCATGTTATCAAAAAAAAAAAAAAATAATAAGAAACATCAAATCTAGCCAGGAAAGAAATACTGTCCAATTAAAAATTGGAAGAAAACTCTACCTCTAGTCCAAATTCTTTCATTTACTAAAGTATCTTTTACAATGAAAACCAACACAAATTAGTACTACAACTTGAAGTTACATCTTATCCATTCCAAAGGTATATTTGAATATCTTCTCTCTCCACAACACCTCCAAACAAAAAGAGTTACAACTGAAATCATAAAATTACCCAAATAAGAAAATCAAAACACCCATAAAGGACAAAGATCAAAACCAGACTTACCTTAAAAAAATACATGTATGGATAAAGATAGTAGATAAAATTAATAAAAAAATACAAAAACTTTAAAAAATGAAACGATAGAGAGTCAGAGACTATACGTTAAAGGAGAAAGACGACAATCTTATTGCTCCAAAAGACAAAAGTTACGATAATCTAAAAACTTAATCAATCAGAGTATATAATTTAGTTAATGAACATAAATGCAATAACACTATGTATAACATAAAACTTTTATCGTTATTAGTATCAGGTGTGCAGTGACCGTAAAATTTTTATTTATTTTATTAAGTGATGTTTTTATATGTATTACTGGGTATTGTCTGTGTGGGTGTTTGAGCATCCGTTTGGAGGGTATTTAACTCTTTTTTTTCTGTGTTCGGTAAGAGAAATTTTTTGAGATTCCTAAAACAGTCACATTGGTAATTGTATTTATTCAGATTTTGTAAAAGGTTTCTGAAAATTTTTCAGGGAATCTAATTTTCCCGAAATTTTATTTTGTGTACAATTTTTTTCTAAAATGTCATCCAAAAATACCACCAAATGGATGGTATTTTTGGAATCCCATGTGTTAGAAAAAAATTTACACTTTTTTAGGACAAAATTTTGATAATATTTTGGCCTACTAAACAATTTTTTGGTAATTTTTTCGGAAAAGTAATTTTCCCTCCATATTCTTGGAAATCATGATTTTCGGACCAAAAAAAATTATCTTCTACCAAATACCCCCTAAGTGTTTAGAAATAGAAAAGGACCAAAACATCCTAGTTCTAAGTATGTTCTTATTTTCACAAGTGGGTATTTTTGTCCTTTCTCTTTCCAACACATACAAGTCTCCACAAATCATTTATCTCCCTACTCACTTCCACTGGCGAACCTAGGTTGGGTCACATGTCCGCAAGTGCAGACATGAGATTTTGGATTTTAATTTTTTTTTGTAGTCATGTAGGTTATTATTTGTCTCTTGGTTCAATATTTATAGTAGGAGTAAATATCATTTTAAGTCCCTAACAAAAAATATGATCCCCATTTTAGTCCCTTACCAAAAATTAGTCTCGAGGAGGTTCCTAAAAAATTCAAAGTGGATAATTTAATTAAAATCGTGATCCCTCACAAATTCAAAAAAGACTTACATTAGTCTCAAAAAGACTAAACTATGTCCACTTTAAATTTCATAGGGAACAGGTGACTCTCTTTTTTTATAATAGACTAAAGTGGGGACCGAATTTTTTGTTAGGGACCAAAAATGATATTTATTCTTATATTAGTTAGCAACATAGCAACGTACAGAGATGATTAAAACAATGTAGCAATGCAAATTGATTAGAGAGAACACTTTTCTTCCTCCCCCGTCACATACTCATTCCCATGATTTTCCATTCCCATAATTTCTTCATCCTTTGTTATGGAAGCAACTAGATTATGAGCGGGTTCAAGCGTTAATTTAATTTATTTTTACAAAAAAAAATTCGTGGGCAGCGCCACTAAATGTGCGGACATAGAAAAATTTTCCTGGGTCCGCCCCTGCTCACTTCATCTTTGTCCCAGCTTTTCACCTTCAACTTCTCCTTCATTCTCAAAATTTCACACAAGCAACCCATTTGTTTCCTTCAAAAGTTACACCCTTATGTACTTGAAAACATCATTCTAGCTCCCTTCCTATGGCATTCTCTCAGCTAGGAATTTTTTAGGCTTGTTCAAAATTACAAATTAATTATAATGAGCTTTTTTATGTAGGAAAGGGGCTCGAATCGAAGTAAAAATGTGAAAGTGTGGAGTTTTGTTTTAACAAACTACAAATCACATAAGTTTGAAAACTCTCATTTTCTCCATTAAACTTTCAGTTGAATACTTGAGGGTGGGGATGTTCAAAAAAAATCAAATGATCCAAACCATTTCATGAACTAAATCAACTAGTTCCAAAAACTGATTTTTATAAAAAGGTTTAAAAAATCAATCAAATTTTTTAATTTTGTTTTAGGTTTGGTTATCCATTTTCACAACAGTTCGGAAATTCAAAATAATCAAACCAAAGTTAAACCAATATACATGTGGTATTTTACTTTGGTACTGTACTTCTCCTATTTGAGTATCGATCTTTTGTTTCTCCCCAATTTTATAAAAAAAAAAAAAACTCTAAATCAGAAATTAGATTGAAGTCCGTTTGTAACAAAACTCTTCATCTTCATCTTTGTCATTACATCTACACAAGTTTTGTTTCTCCCCAATTTTTGATTTTATTTTAACATTGTTCATCAAAGAATAAAATATTTCAGTATGCTTTATTCCATTCTTAACTCAGTCATTTCTTTTCTTGCATTTGTTTTAGTTCTTGAGCAAATTTTTTTTTTTTTTTGGTAAGCAGTTGTTGAGCAATTTACTGCTTCGAAAATTAGGCTACACATTGCTATTTAGGGCAAGGGTCGATAATCCTTTTCAAATACTTGTTAAACCTAAGAGGTTCTATTAACAATAGATAAATGTAATATACAAGACTTTGATATTTTACAAGAATCAATTACTTGGTTTTTTCTACTTCAAGAGCAATCACATAGGTGAAGTTTTGGCATACACGAGCTGTCGAACTCACGCAAATTAATTAAATCAGGTTTATT